CTTATCTAGTATTACTTCTCTTTCTTCCAGGAACCTGGAACTTCTTTAAGCTACTAACACAAATGTTTTTGTTTCAATGTCCCTTGTCTTTCCAATAGCCTCACTTCATGGGCCTCAGTTTCATCCAAAGTGTCACTTAAAATTATTGAGCTTATTACTTTGTGGATCCCCTTTCCTAGCAAACTAACGGTCTCAAAAGTATACATAAAAATCCCATGTAAATATAAACAAGTAAGCACAAATAAACAAATACAACCCTCCATACAAGGCTAGCGGGGCATCATTCACTTTTTGTCTATGTCTGTAACCAAAATGAGTGACGGTGATGTTCACTAGATACAGTGAAATTCTAGCCAACACTAAGCCAAAAATAGATGAAAGCCAAAACTGAATCCCAGAGTGTGGATAGAAGGAGATAAGTAAGTGGTCAGAAAAAGGAAACAAAAAGTGAAAGTGTTTTGGGAGAGCACTGATTTTATGTGACTCCCAAAGACATCATAGGAGGGGGAAAAAAGAAGGAGAATCAAACACTGGAAGTTTGTATGGGCCAGGAAGTGGAACACATAGCTTAGCCTATGTTCTCCTGGCCAGAATTCAGTCATAAGTAAGAATTTAACAAGAAGAACTGGGGTCAGTGGGTATGAATGCACCAACAGTTAAGAAAATTAGAAAAAAAAAAAAAAAAAAAAAAAAAAAGAAAATTAGATCCAGACGATCTTTATATGTGTCTCAGATGATGGAAGGTTAAACAAAATCACAATCAAGAAATCAATAAAAGAAACAATAGAACAAAGTTTTTAACAACAATAAAAGAAAGTTTTATTTTCATTAGTGGCAAAAACAGAATTGGCAAATAACTACAGGACAGTTGTTGATAAGAGCATCAGAAACAAGACACTACGGCATCATGGGGGAGGGGAGATGAGTCCCAGTGATGAAATCAAAGAAGTAATATTAGAAACCAGACTGAAAACGACAACTGGTTTTTGGAATTTGGAGATAGAGACGAAGGCTATCCTATATAGACACAGAGATGAGATGTTTCCAGATATGCCATGAAGAAATAACAAACTGCCTGGGAGGTTTTGAATGGGGAGCATCCATATTGAAGAACAACCATTTGATAAAGCAGACCAGGTGAATTGCTTTCCAAGTGCAACACTGGCAAAAACGGCATATGGTGAAATTTGCTAGAATATATAACTCCCTTTGACAAAATATCTTTTCTTTTCAATTTTATAGTTTCAAACCTTAATGGCCCATATTTGGTTTATTAAATGTGGAAGGGAAGTATTAAACTAAAATTATTTTAAGTAAAGTTAATAAATGTAAATTTGTAAAACAGAATTTCCCCGCTCAATATCCCATTATATGTGTATGCATTTCATTACAAATTCCAAGTAAAAATTAATGCAAAGATCTTGACAAAGTTAGGGTTGGAAAAATAAATATAGAATTACACATGTAGGAAAATAGATATACTACCAAGACAGCATGCTTACTTTTCTTATTGTCACATTCTAAGTGGATTTAGACTTGGTGCCAAAGAATCATATGTATCAACTTGATGAAATTGATGTGGAAAATATCAGTCAGAGTGTAATCGAATATGTACTAAGTTAATTAATAACATTTTAACATACAGAATTTGTGCTCTTTGAAAATTTAAATACAAAACAAGAGTTCATATATGGACTCATGATTTACTATTATAATTTGGGAAGTTCAAGAAATCAAAAATTTCAGATGTAATTAATATAGTACTAAGTCAACAAACATTAACAATAATTAAAAGCTTATTATGCTTACATATCAGAAACTTTGATGCATTAACTTATCAATACTTAGAATAACTCTATGAACTAGATGTTTTTTCAGTGGAGGAAAATGAAGCACAGAAACATTTGAAAACTCCAAAATTATACAAACAACAAATGGCAGAATCCATTATTTTACATATATTAAGTTTCCCCAAAATCTTCACTCTTAATCTCTATACCAAACAACCTTCCATAATATGATAATATATTTTATGTAAAAACATATTTTCAACAATCCTTTTTTCTTTTTTTTTTTTTTTTTTTGACTAATTAATGACATTATAGCAGGGAGAGGACTAAGACCTGAGACCGTTGCCTGAAATCTAATGCTAGATTTCTATCCATACCAATGTAATCTTTGACTGATCTGCTAGACTACTTTCACAAATAGACAATGAAACAGACAAAAGGGCTGCCAGTTACAAGCCAATCATGCACGTATTCACTCAACAAATAATTTTTCTGTGTGTCAAACACTGTAATGGATATTCAGTGCTCATACCAAACCCCCATAAGGATGGCCTATTTTGACTTTCATTACATCTATAGATAAAGGTAGAGTGCTCCTTTCCTTTATCACCCCAAACTCCAACTCACCTTTTCATTACAAACACCTGGACAAAATGTCAAACTTACATTTGAGTGCGTGTGTGTGTGTGTGTGTGTGCACGCGCATGCACACATAGCCTTGAATAGCCCCTACATCAAAGTACGGTTTTCTTAAAAGTTCAGAAATATTAATATGTATCAGTTTGGCAAAATCATCTCTAATGACAAAGGTATTCCTTTTGAGACTTTGGGAGAGATAGCCCATCTTTAGAAAGGATAAAGAAATACTTTTTTCTAAGAAAACAGAACAAAGATACAATATAAAGGGGATGCATTAGCAGATATATTGCTTGTATGGCAAATTAATATAAATACAAAGAAATACACTCTTATAGGGGCCCAGGGTCAAAAATGTAATACAAGAGAGGAAAAAGAAATCTGAAAAAAGTTTCATGCGTGTGAAATCAGCTGAGCAAAAAGAAAGCAAATTGTTTGGAGTGCAATTGCAATTACTTGAAAGATCATAGTTAGGTAACAGCAGGGTATTGGGATGATATTGTTTAGCTTCATTAATGGATGCATATGATTCCTGGAAGAAGGAGGGTTCTAAAATGAGGACAGTGCTGTGGGTTTAAAATGGAATCCTCATTAAGAGCAGAGGTTGCCCTGTATTGCTTATCTAACACAGGGGCAGGCAGCTTTCAGGGCTCTTTCCTGCCAGTTTGGGTGTTAAAACCAAACAGCTGACCTTTAAGAAGCTAAAGGATCCAAAATTTGCATAAAGGCTTTTTCATTCTTGTTGCTCCTTAGTTATCCCAGCAAAATGCTTTAGGATTACACAGCTACTTCCTATTTGTTTATGTCACTCATGAGATGAACAAGTATCCCTTATTTTTTCCCTTCCTCTATCTGATGTGCAAATTTTAGATAAACAGGGATCCTCAAACCACCTTCAAAGTTTTCACTGAGAAAGCCTTCTTTAGGATGTGATAGGGTTCCAGGATAACAACAACAACAAAAGCAACAACAACAACAACAAATAATTTTTAAAAAACTATCATGACATATATCTTCTCCCTTACATGACAGGAATTTTTAAGGTAGATATGTAGATTGAAAAGGGATCTATTATTCACTTAATGAATATCAAGAAATGGGAAACTGAGGAAAAATGGATATTGGATCAATGGAATTTTCTTGGTTTCTGAGTGAAAAATGACTTAACGAATGGTACATAAGATCAGTAATATTTGTTTCTCAAAGTTACTATAGAAATCTGCGTGATTACAGCTACTATGGAGGGGAGATGTCTTAATATCTTTAACAGATAAAAATTAAGTAGGGATGCTTGCCCTCATATTTTCACACCTGCTCTTTGGTCTCTCACTTCTGATTTTTCACCCATGTAGGCCATCATAAAGCTACCACATTTTTTCCAAGGTACAGCTCTGACTATACAAACAAAAATTATAACAAAAGCCCAACATCTTCAATGACTACTTAATGCTTAAATAGTAAAATATAATTTTTTTAAATCAGGTTTCAAAGACTTCTGCCAATGAATTTTAGTCCAACATTTTGAAATGTCTCACTCTTCCATATAATTTTCTATGACTTAGCCTATACCCTATTGCCAAATGTCTCCACTTATTTCAACCTCAATGTTTCTCCTATTCTCTTGAAAGAAAATAAGTTTATCCAACCCATATGTCTACATCGTATACAACTGAAAATGTCATGTACTTTGGTCAGCAATTCTTTCACATCCCAAGAGCTAAAAAAGCTTGCCTCTTTGAAAGGCTCGTCTCACCATATCTTGACAAGTTATCAATCTCTACCTGTAGTGTCATTATATATGTGTTGCCAATATTTTCCCACTCATTTACAGATATCATGATATCTAATGTCTTTATTGCAACAAGCTGAGAACTGCTAGTTGGGAGTTAGCAGTAAGAGCATATGAGTCTTTTTACAGTGTCAACCGAAGCTGATCTTTCACTATTTAATTTTCTCTTAGCACCTTGAACTGTGCACTATATTATACAACTGGTTATGTCACACCAGTTGGAATTATGTACTATTTGTATTGATCAGTGGCTTTGTTTTCTGTGTAAATACAGAATTGTGTACTACACAAGTGGACATCTTTAAAGTCAGAGAGATTTAGATTTGCAATTAGCTCTGACATTAAATAGCTCTATGTACTTGAGCAAACTATCAACAACTTTAGAGCATTAGTTTATTACTACTGTAGGGATAAAATCGTATCTATTACAATATATTTGTGAAGGTCAAATGGAATGATTCCTATTAAGCACCTTGAATATGGAAACCCTTCATATGAATGCCAGCTTTTTTTTTCTTTTGCTATACCATCTCATGATCTACATTGCTTCTTCTTTAAAAAAAAACTCCTGTACCACACTTCCTAAGTATCCTCTAAAGTGTATACAAAATTGAATACAGGTAGCATGCAACTAATGCTACTGACCAAATGTGGTCTAAACTGGGATATAAACAGTTTTATACAGAGTTTTCAACATCATGTCTAAAATGAGAAATCTTTTGGCAAAGCTAGATCTCAGGTCAAATAGTCTGATACTTGATTCTAGATCTACAGATACTACTTACTAGTAGTGTGACTCTGAGGCAGCTCCTTTACTTCTTTGATTCTCCATTTCGTCACCTGCAAAAATGAGGACATTGGTCTAGATCCATGATTTCTAATTTGATTAACACTTAAAAATTTATTGGTTTGTTTATTCTGTAAATAAAGTTTTATGGAAGTGAAAAAACAGAAGGATTAAAAGCACAATACAAAGAGGATGATACAAGGAGGACATTGAGGACTTCTACCTTTTGGTCTCTTCCTACAGGTCAGACTAATTCTGGCTTAAATCTAGTCAAGGATTTACAGAGGATGCATGAAGAATTGTGCAGGCATACTCAGAATGTATGTGTAAAAAAATATAAGTTTTATCCATCCATCCATTGATGAACGTTTAGGTTGCTTCCATACTTCCTTGTGAATAATGCAGATATATCTTCAAGTTACTGATTTCAAATCCTTTGGGATATACAACCAAAAGTGGGATTGCTGGATCATAAGGCACTTCTATTTTTTGAGGAACTTCCATACTCTTTTCTATAATGGCACACTTCTAAAATTTCCATCCCCAAATGTCTGTTTACAGATGAATGGATAAAGAAAATGTGATTATACACACATAAATGCACATGCACATGTACACAACACACACACACACACGCACACACACACTGGAATATGATTCTGCCTTAAAAAAAAAAGGTAATCCTGCCATTTGTGACAACATGGATGAACCTGATTACATTAGCTCAGTGAAATAAGCTAGATGCAGAAAGACAAATACTGCATGTTGGTCTCAATTGTATGTGGAATAAAAAATGTTAAATTCATTGAAACAGAGAATAGAATGGTGGTTATCAGGGAGTGGGATATGGGAGGTGCTGGTCCAGAAATACAGTTTCATTTATGCCATATAAATACATTTTGGAAATGTAACATACAATAATGTGACTGTAGTTAACAATACTGTGCTAAAGACTTGAAATCAGCTAAAAGCATAGGTCTTAAGTGTTTCAACACACACACACACACACACACACACACACAACACATGCTAACTATATGAGATGATGAATATGTTAACTAACTTGATTGTGGTGAATATTACACAGTGTACACATACTTCATATAATCAAGTTGTATACCTTAAATATGTATAATTTTTAATTGTCAAAAATTAAGTCAGGTGGCCTTTTTAATTTTGGTATCAAAGGGTAAGAAATTCCAAAGTTTAAACCACTCTATATCTACTGAATATTCCTAAAGATTTTTTGAAGCTACAAAAGTTTTGTTTATTTGTTTTGTTTTGTTTTGTTTGGTTTTGTTTTTTACCAAGCATGCTCCAGAACATTATTTAATTAGCTAAAAATTCCAAAGTGAAATTTGACACTAATAGTTAAATAAATAAATAGCATGTCTTGGCTTATAAAAGGTAATACAGCTAACAAATGAGTGATCAGAAACTGATGTTTTGTGTTTTAAAGATGATACTGGATACAAAATTCATGTGGATAAGCTGGTTTTGAGCTTCACTATCACTTAGACCACAACATCAGAATAGTCAATGTACAAAAAGTGTGCAAGAAATCATGCAAGAAATTAAACATGTGCTTTGGAGTCAGATAGATGGTTTTAACATTTTAACATTATAGTTCTGAGAAATGTACTTAAAGTCTATAAGCTGTAGCTTGCCTGTAAAATGCAGAATACAATATTGATCCTCCTTGTTTTTCTGTATGTTATTAAGTAACATTCGGTATAAGAAAGCACTAGCTCATAGTAAGTGGAAATGAATATTAGTTCCTTTTATTTCTCCTTTTATATAGTTCCACAATATATAGGAAACATTGCCTGGCATAGAGTGTAAAGCAGTGTCAGCAACTCAACTTTTTAATGGTTTCTTTCACAGTGGTTTCTAACTTTCTAACCTTTTGAAGCTGTTAAAATAAAGTCAAATAATGATACTGCTGTGGCATAAGTGTATGCTAGGATCAATAAATTGTGGTTGTTGGAATAAATTGCAATTAAAGGGGTAGTACTTGATTGCTTGACAGTAGGTAGTCTTTCTGGCCCAAATAAACTCAAGTATTAGTCTGATTTACAAGCTAATTAGTATGGACTTCACAGGCATTTCATTGGGGGACCATGAGATCATATTGACTTCTGCTCACATCATGAGACCATCCTTCAAGTTGTTCTGTGTCACTGATAGGTGACAACTTCGTGTTTACTTTGTTTATTCGAGAATACAGTTTTAATCATTTTTAATCAAGTAGAATATACAAGAAATTTACAATGTTTGCAAATAAGCACCCAAATGTCTAAATAATTTCACTATCGCCACTAGTCTCGCCCCCCCATTTCTATACATTTAAGATAAAAATATACATGCATTCAAAAAATGACAAAGTCATCAATGTAGTACAAAGGATAGTTATTACTGAATCTTTGAAGCAATAGAAAAATATAGAGAAGCATTAATTTATAGGCTAGAAAGCCACAGGGTAGGTATTTCATAACAAATTATTTGAAAAATCCATAAAAGAGAGACAATTTTTGTCTCCAAATAAAGAAGTATGCTTATCTAAAGTATAATTCTGTTTATTCTTAATTTTCCTATTCAATGCAGTATTTTATATGATAAATCCCAACATATGCCTTTATAATTATCTAGTAAATATGGGACATTCATAGACTAAAACAGGTAATTTAAGCAATCCTTTGAGTTGTAAATTACATTAAGATACATCATGTGCTTTCCTCTACTATGTATTTACTTACTAGTGCATTTCCTGCTAGGGATTAAATACATTTTTGTTGAATGAAAAAATGACAAAAGTTCAATTCCTCAACAATACATTATTATATATATGGTATGACTGTTTTTAAAATTAAGCATCCTTTCCATTTAAATAGCTCTACCCCATATTTCTTGTAAATAAAAAAAGCAGCAAACAAAAGTTACAAATACGTGAAAAAAATCCCTGATGCTATGTTCTCTGTTGTCCATATTTATGTTAGATATATATTTTAGGTTGCTAGTATTACATCCAGTAAATCTCACACCACACTTATTATGTTTCTGTTATTTAGTTTTCAGTTTCTGAGCCTTATTTTCCTTTCCCTAGCTCTCTTTGAAAGGCATCTTTGTGAAGGCTGAAGAAAAAAAACTAATCTATTTGTATACTGGTGAATTCTAATCACCTACTAGAGTTTCTGACTCATAAATGCTCAATCATTATTTTTTGCATAAGGAAACTGATCACAATTAGTATTATCAATTATAAATCCTCATATTTCTGACTTTAATAGACACATAAACATATATTTTGCTAAATTTGAGTAATCTCTTAACCACTTTTATGTATGACAATGCAAAACTATATTAAATTTAAGGAATTATACAAAAACCAGAATATCAAACTTTAGAATCAATGGTAGCATTTTAAAGAACAAAATAGTATCCTAAGATAAAAATGCTGAAATAAATGTTTCAGTGTCAAAATTAGTAGAAGCCCATGAAAGAAATTATGAAAAGACAAATTAGAAACAAAATCCATTCCCTAGCTTAGTTAATGTCATCCAAAACAAGAATTTATTCTTCTTGAATGCAAAATGTCTATAGACCTTGTTCTCCCCAGGATTTAACACAATACCTGGCTCATTGTGAGGACTAAATTTGCGTTTTAAATGCATTGATGAATCAATCAATCAATTCCTGATTCAGAATGTCTAATAGTAAAACAGTGTATAAAATACCTGGGAAAAAAATAAAGATGAGAAAAATATTAAAATGTATAATAGAGCAATTTAACTAATATGGCATAGACTACATATTCTGTGGTTTCACAAGATTTGGTATTATTCTAAGCTGCAAGTGATATTAAAATTCCAGAAAAGTAAAATACATCTGAGTAGGTAGGTTTAAAACAAATTCCTTTTCCATTCTAAGTTCAGCGTCATAATATTAGAGATATTATTTGAGAGCATCTTTTCCCCCTGTCTGTAAACTGATTGGTGAGAAGGAGGACAGGAGAATCTTGCTTTCCTGTCCTTGGGTTACATTCTCTGAAGTCAACAGTAGAAAAGGATGCAAAGATGTGGATCTGAAAATGAGAGGTACTATGATTCCACAGGATGTATGTTCCTGCATAGGCCTTAGAACAACTGCTCAGCTCCTACTGATCTTGAGCCTGTCAATCTATCTGATCTGATTATTAATTTGCTTGAAATCTTGTCATGGTTATAATTTTATGTGCTGCACAATTGTAATGTCATTAAGATAAAGCAAATAATTGAAAACTTATAATTGTGAGGTAGCCAAATCTTAGGCCATGAGGAAAAGAGAATTCTCTGTCTTCACTATAACACATGCCCACACTACCAGTCTCAATTTTTCTTCTCAAGAGCCACATACACATCACTACCACCCAGTTGCTTTCTGCTTCTCTTCCTTTTTCCTATTTATCTTGACACTCCACTGCCTGTCACTGGGGCTAGTCTAGACCAGTGCTGCCTTTCATGAGTATCTTTTGTTTTTCCTCTAGGCGTGTTTTTTTTTCTCTCTCAGATAACTTTTTATGAGGCAATATTAAAATCATTATGAGCTTTTAACTGTAAATTATCTAAAATCACAAATCACATAAGCCTATGATCCACTTTAACATGAATGTTGTTAACTAGTTTTTAAAGAATACTGTTGAATTTTACATAAAAGGAGTGTCAGAAAATCATGTTTGGAGGTATAAAATACAATTCTAATGATTTAAAATAGGGATGAGGGGTGCCTGGGTGGCTCAGTCAGTTGAGCGTCCGACTTTGGTTCAGGTCATGATCTAGCAGTTCACGAGTTTAAGCCCCATGTAGGGCTCTGTGCTGACAGCTCAGAGCCTGGAGCCTGCTAAGGATTCTTCTCCCTCTCTCTCTCTCTGCTCCTTCCTCTGCTCATATTCTCTCTCTATTTCTCAAAAATAAATAAACATTAAAAAATTAGAAAAACAAGCTTCTTTCATTGAAAAAAAAAATACGGATGAAGTGGAGACCCTGGGTGGCTTAGTCACTTGAGCAGCTGACATTGGCTCAGGTCATAATCTCACAGTTC